AAGATTACATCGAATAGATCTCCACAAGAGAGGGGGAGAACTTTCTATTGAGATTCAAAGAGAGAGAAGAAGCCATCTAGCTACTAACTATGGACCCGAAGGTCTGAGGTAAACTACTCACACTTCATCGGAGAGGCTATGATGATGTAGAAGCCCTCCGTGATGACGGCCCTCTTCCGGCGTACTTCTTCCTCCTATATATACCTACGTACCCACAAACTATCAGATATGGAGCCAAAAACCTAATTCCACCGCTGCAACCTTTTGTACCTGTGAGATCCCATCTTGGAGCCTTTTCCGGAGCTCCGCCGGAGGGGGCATCGATCACGGAGGGCTTCTACATCAACACCATAGCCTCTCCAATGATGTGTGAGTAGTTTACCTCAGATCTTCGGGTCCATATAGCTAGATGGCTTCTTCTCCCTCTTTGGATCTTAATACAAAGTTCTCCATGATTCTCGTGGAGATCTATTCGATGCAATCTTCTTTTGCGGTGTGTTTGTTGAGACCGATAAATTATGGGTTTATGATCAAGTTTATCTATGAACAATATTTGAATCTTCTCTAAATTCTTTTGTGTATGATTGGTTGTCTTTGCAAGTCTCTTCGAATTATCAGTTTGGTTTGGCCTACTAGATTGCTCTTTCTTGCAATGGGAGAAGTGCTTAGCTTTGGGTTCAATCTTGTGGTGTCCTTTCCCAGTGACAGTAGGGCAGCAATGCACGTATTGTACTGTTGCCATCGAGGATAACAAGATGGGGTTTATATCATATTGCATGAGTTTATCCCTCTACATCATTTCATCTTACTTAAAGCGTTACTTTGTTCCTTTGAACTTAATACTCTAGATGCATGCTGGATAGCGGTCGATGTGTGGAGTAATAATAGTAGATGCAGGCAGGAGTCGGTCTATTTGTCTCGGACGTGATGCCTATATACATGATCATACCTAGATATTCTCATAACTATGCTCAATTCTGTCAACTGTTCAACAGTAATTTGTTTACCCACCGTAATACTTATGCTCTCGAGAGAAGCCACTAGTGAAATCTATGGCCCCCGGGTTTATTTTCCATCATATTAATCTCCCGTCAACAAGCTATTTCTGGTGCCGTTTTTATTTCGCTTTATTTACTTTGCATCTTTATCATAAAAATACCAAAAATATTATCTTATCATATCTATCAGATCTCACTTTCGTAAGTTACCGTAAAGGGATTGACAACCCCTTTATTGCGTTGGTTGCCAGAATTTTATTTGTTTGTGTAGGTGTGAGGGACTCGTGCATGGCCTCCTACCGGATTGATACCTTGGTTCTCAAAAACTGAGGGAAATACTTACGCTACTTTGCTGCATCACCCTTTCCTTTTCAAGGGAAAACCAACGCAGTGCTCAAGAGGTAGCAAAAAAGAGAAACTCAGATGTGAATAGTCTACAGAGAACCATTCGCGAACTATTCATGAAAGATTTCTCTTTTTGGCTTCTCGATGTATATTTCGAATTTTGATCTGAATTTTTTAGGGGTTATCTTACTATGTAATGTGAACATGCATGATTTTTTTCAGATTTTTTCGCAATGTTTAAATTTAAATTCCAGCCGCAAGGCACACGGTAACATGCAAATGTGTCTGTCACCTGATCTCTGTCCCGCCATGGGAGCCCTCTCTTCGGTATGACGAGCGAGGCAGATGGAAAAAGGGAAATGATGTGTGGAGGAGCCGGCCGACGCGACACAAGCACAACGCAACATCTCTTTTCAACCGGTTGAATCAGAGCAATTCCCAAGCGATTTTCAGTATTTGTATACCACAAACACTAAGTAAGCTAGCTTTATTAATTGAAATATTAAAGTAATGCTTACAAAAGTTTCAAAATGATTTTCATTTTATTTTCTTTTTTGGTAAAGATTTTTCAATAGTTTCACTCTATCTGCAATATACAAAAAATAGCAATATTTTACAAAAAAAAATCAGAAACGGGGATTTTGATAATTTCATAAACATGAAATCTTATCTCGCAAATATCAAAACACATTTCTTAAAATATTTTCATGAATACGGAGAGCACAAATTTCAATATTCCATAAACACAAATCCATAGTTAACTAATTTACAATCATGAATGTCAATAATTTCACGAACTCAGTAGTCCCATTCCAGTTACATTGTGGTACCATTCACAGATTTCACAATTTTCACAAATCATGTCACCATTCCAGTGATATATGTCACAAGTATCAATTTCGAAAATCTGATCACCATTTCAGTGATATATCATAAGTTTTATTTTTCTAATACTAGCACATATGCCCGTGCGTTGTAACAGGAGAGATACTTTTTGCAAGAAGCATCAGGAGAGATAATTGGTGTGTCCATCAAAACGGTCGCCGCAACGGTGGGGCGACAGAGCGAGGATCTGCGGTGTTCTCGCGGGTCATGTTTGGTCGACGACATCTGAATAGTGGTCGAGTTGGTTCGAATGGCGGCCACCACCAAACTCATGCCTTTTTTTTCTTCGAGTCCGCCTCTGAGGTTGTGGTTGCCTTTTCACTTTGTGGCTTCACGACGACTTCGGGGCATAGTTGCTTCGAGCACTCTCTTGTATGATGGTGTAACTGGATAGATTACTAATTACAATGAATCAAGTTTCATTAGCATAATCAGCACAGCACATAACCAGGTAGTCCTTACTTTACCAGGGTGTATTCTCTTTACTTATTTTAGCGCTCATTTGCCCATATATTTTCATCAAAGCCAAATCAGCATATTCTTTTTTATCGGCATGTGCTCATAATTTCTTTTAATTATAGCCAACCAACATAGACCCGGCCCATGATGGCCCATCCGACCCAACATATATTCCTCCTCGTCTGCTTGCCAAACCAAACCCTAGTCTCTTCATTCCACTCCCCTTCACTACCCAAGCTCTCGTCTGGTCTTCTTCGGCATGGCAGGCGGCGGATCCAAGTTCTTCACCTCCAGACCCGTCGACCCCTAGCTCATCCCATGCGGCCCCAAGGAGGAGATGGTTGTCCGGCTTGCGCTCTGCCGTTCCCGGGAGGAGGCCCGTGCGAGGCGGCGCTCAGACTCCTTTTATCGGGAATCCATCATCTATCTGACGTCCACAGACACCTTTCAATTTTCGGGCTCCGGCGAGAAAGAGTAGGACATGGGAGACGGCGCCTTGAGTCTCGTGAGCCGGCTCGTGTCCCATGCCCTACTCTACCTTACCGGTGACCGGACCAACACTCTAAGAAGCGCAGCCGGTCGCCGGACATGGACATGGCAAAACTGGGCGAGCTCCGCTGAGATTAGGTTTCACGTTTCATGTAATAACATGAATTTAAGATATCTAATTTAAAATATCCAATTATAGAATCAAATATTTGAGACTGCCGACACGCGACGTTTGAGAGATCGGATTTAAGTCTGATTGTAGATGCTCCAATGGTATCGGCCGTGAGATGATTCGTATCAGGAGGCTAGACCGGCGGGCACAATAGGCTGATGCACTAACCTTTTGACATCTGACACGACATGTCACGGCCCGGTTCATTTGTTTTACTTTTACCAAAGCAGCTGCGTGTACGTGCCGCGACACGTGTCCCGGAAGTCGGCAGCCTCGCTCGGCGACCTGTCCTCTCCAACCGCCGCACGTACGTGGTGCCTCACGTGTCCGCCCCAGCGATCAAAACTCCCACCCAACACCACCACGTACGGTCCGACCGTCCGAGCCAATCCAGGAGCGCCGCCGAGCCCTCCTCCCTCCCGTCCCGATCATTTCTCTCCGCCACCACCACCAGCCGCAAAAAAAATGTGCGGAAAGGGCCGGAACAACGGGCTCGCGTCGCCGGCGGGGACAAGCGGCACGGCGACCGCCATCGTCGCCCTCGCGTCGCTGCTCCTCGCGGCCTCGGTCGTCGTCTTCCTCGTGTCGCCGCCGGCGCCGGCGGCGGACGAGAAGCCCCCCGAGCCGGTGGAGCTCGCCATCGGCGTCGCCGGGCACGAGGGCTGGCTGGACGCGCTCCGGGCGTGGGCCAAGCTGGCGTGCCTCAAGCTCCGCCCGCTCGAGCCAAGGTACATATCGTGCTCTCTTCTTTCTTTCTCCGTGCACGGGTCCAAGCACGCGTGCCCTCATCTCATGGCGTGTTGGTTACTTGTTTTTGCGTGGCGGCTGATGAAGGTGTGATCTGAGGAGCTCGGGGTCGATGAAGAAGGCGGCCAAGCAGAGCCTGGCGATGGGCAAGGAGGCCGTGGAGCAGACGGCGGTGTCGGCGGCGAGGGCCGCCGAGGAGACCATCGGGAGGACCACCGAGAAGGTGCGGAGGAAGGTCTCCCCGTCGCCGTCGACGTCGTCGGCGCCACTCGCCGATGGAGACCTGTGATCTGCATGCAGGTCGACGCAAGCGCCAAAATTTTCCGAGCTGTATCCCTCCACTTTATGTTACCTGTAAGCTGTAGCTTTCTACTAGTGCGAGAAGAAAAGATGGCCCCCTCGGCGATATGTATGCGTATGAATATCCTGCGATTCTGTTTTTCTCTGTACCCTGCTTGTGAATATGAGACGGTCTAGATCGGAAGTTTTCTCGGCAAAAAAAAAAAGGAAATGCATTTTGGCTGCGAAAAGTTGCATTGTCACCAATCTGCAGCCATGTCGATGAGAGGTCAGAGCCCAGGTGTTGGTAACAGAATTAGTAGCAGTTGCATCAATGGAGCAGCACAATGGCATTTGTTGCTGCAACTCCTTGCAATACTCTTTAACAAACGGCAAGCGAATGGGTCCGCTGCCGGCTCAAGTCGACCATAGCATGATTTTCTCAGAGACTAGAGTGGAGAGAGATTCTCCACTGGGAAACTAGTAAACAGTCTTCTTCCTTCAGGAGTAACATAACATCTGATCTCACAGGCCTATGGTATGGACACAGGAGGGGTACACGGAATATACAGGGCAATGCAATCCATTTCATCCATGTCGCGGAGGACCGGCATCGCCGCGTCGCTCTATTCCGGGCAGATTTCCCTGAAGATGGGCAGCCTGCGTCGGCCGCTGCGCCCGTAGAGGGCCTCGGCTATCAGGTCGTCTTCCTCCTCGGTTGGCTGTGCTGCTGCAGACACCGCCTGCCCTGAAGGTGTCGTCGAACCAGGTTTCGGTGTCGACAGAAGGTCCGGCCTGTTTCCTAGGATGACAGCACCATCTGGTGATCGGAAGTTGGAAAATGTTTGCTTGAGTTCGGGAAAACCTGGTGCGCCAGTGAGCCCGCCAGCCTATGCAACATGAAACAAGACAGAACAGATGTTACTGCATATAGCACACTGTAGATTTTGATGATAAAGGACTGTCAAAAAGGGAAATATATTAGGCTAGTCACCAAACTAGCTTAAGAGAATGATTCTAGTAAATCATCTTATGGTTGTGTTGGTTTAGAGGGAGGCTGCATGAACATGCTAACAATTTCAGCTATAGGATGAAGAGAAGAATAGCAAGTAATGAGTAAATGGAGATAATATATAGCAGGTAATGAGAATCGATTGCTCGCATACCCCTCGTGCTGCAAAAAGATAAAATTGTCTCTGCGTATATGAATGCGTTTAGATCCTGACACTGGAGATCCTGCTGTTGAGCTAGAAAGAAATATTCCAATCTAAAAATTGCAACTGTACCAGGAACACAATTATCCACTTATCTGGAGCTTAACGATGGAACAAGATCCAAAATCAGGCACATATGTTGTGTTCAAGGTAAAGGCATATAAAATTTGTGCTAAAGCTTGACAAAGGAACTGGATCTAAGAGGGTGTTTGTTTTCAGGGACTTATTGGTTTAGGGACTTAAAAAAGTCCCTATAAGTCCCATCTAAACCAAACAGGAGGGACTTATAGGGACTTAAAGTGGGCATTTGGGACTTATGAAATAAGACTCTCAAGGAGGGACTTATAGGGACTTATAGTTGTAATATGGTCTTTTAGTCCATGTTAAGTCCCAGGAACCAAACAGGTAGGGACTTTTTAGGGACTTAAAGTGGGCATTTGGGACTTATGAAATAAGACTCTCAAGGAGGGACTTATAGGGACTTATAGTTGTAATATGGTCTTTTAGTCCATGTTAAGTCCCAGGAACCAAACAGGTAGGGACTTTTTAGGGACTTAAGACTTATAAGTTGGGACTAAAAAAAGTCCTAGGACTTATGAACCAAACAGGGCCTAAAACAATGTCGATATGCTGCAGTCTGGTGAACCGACTTGATTTCAACAACATTTAAGGGCTAATCAATTTATGTTTATCTGAAACATGAGAAATTGTTTCTTCTCTGGCTAGCAAGAGTGACTAGCTAAGGAAATGAGAAAATTATTTGGCAATGTACCAGATCAATATAGTAACAATTTCTTTCTATTCTAGATAGAAGAGCAAACAAAAAGTCCATGATCTAACGAGTCATGCCTATCTGACCGATCAGAAATTGTCCTTTCCTAGCAACAAGAGAGAGCTAGGGAACAAGCAATTGTACACTGAAGCTACAAGTAACTGAATTACTGAAGGAGAACTTGAACTATCATGCAGTATGACAAAGTAAAGAACTAAGTAGAATTTGTAATAAGTACTCCCTCTGTATCATAATATAAGAGCATTTTTGACACTAGTGGTGTCAAAAACGCTCTTATTTTGTGGGACGCAGGGGGTAGTAACTAGTAGCTCAAATGCATTATCAAATACCACGACATCAAATTACTAAAGACCACAACTGAGCTACCACAGTAAACTAATGACTGTATTATGGCCAGAGTCTACATACAGTCTGATAAGTTGCGTTAGGGCATAGGAACATAGATGACACTATCCCCAAATGAAAATTGGATGGCTCGGTTTAATTTGTTTCCTAGTTTGTACATTCTCAGGCAACCTTTACTGTCAGAACTAAATCATGCACTTGTATTGTGAGTTCATAGGATTTACGGTAGGTAGTAACTTAGTAGATCATATGCATTATCAAATAACATGGCATTAAATTAATAAAGACCACAACATAAACTGCCATATACTAGTAAATTAGTGGACTGTACTATGACCATAGTCCACAGATAGTCTGATATGTGGCGTTAGGACATTAGGAAACATAGATGACATCATCCCAAATGAAAAATGGATGGCTTGGTGTAACTAGTTTCCAGTTTTGTACATCCTCAGACAACCTTCACAGTCAGAAATAAGTCATGCGCTCGTATTGCGGGTGTATGTGATATGACAGTCTGCACAATAGCTAATTAGGCTGTGTGCATCTTGGGATGCAGAGGCCCAGGGAGTTTTCCCTTATCTAAAAGAAGAAACTATAACTAATTGAGTAAATATATGGAAACATTTCCCCCTAAGAACACAATCCAGAGTTCTGCATTGCAATGCATCACCACACCCGTGGTCTTTCTCTCTGTGATTAACCAGATGAAGTATTGAAATCATGTAACCATGGCATTATAGAGATCAAGAGCATTGAGATATGCACAATATTAACCAAGCTAGTAGTAGAACCAAGGGCTAAAGACACTGACCACTACTCCAGGCATCAGTTCAATACTTCATCGGACAGCAATGCAAGACCATAGCGACACTGAGGGTTAGATCTGGAGAGCGGCTTAATCACCTGGCGTTTCGGCGCGTAGAGGTAGGCCGCCTCATGGTCCGCCATCGCGTACATCGGCCGTGGCCGCGCCTGCTGCTGCTGCGGCGGCGGCGGCGACTGCGGCGAGTAGAGGAGGCGGCGGCTGTCCAGCTCGGCGTTGGCGGAGAAGCAGGTGCGGCGGAGGCGGAGGAGCGACGTGTCGAACCCGAGCTCCAGCCCGCCCGACGAGTACGAGGAAGGGGAGATGCCCCCCTGGCCGGCGGCGGCGACGGCGTCGAAGGCCGGCGTGAGGTACGCCCTGAGCGACGAGGACGAGAGGCGGCGCTGCCGGCGCCGCGACGCCGTCTCGCCCATCCACTGGCCGCCGGGCGAGGCGGCGGCGCAGTCGAAGTCGAAGTCCATCGCCCGCTCGCTCGCTCGCGCAGAGCACCGGCCGGGAGCCGCGGCGAGATTTGGGGGGGGAGGCGGCGACGGTTCCGGGGAAAACAAAAACTGAAATTTAAAACTGAAACTGAAATTAGGGCTCCCACCGAGACCAGGGAAAAGGGGGGAGAAAAAGAATCGCCTTAAATTTCTCGGGAAGCCTGCATGCGGCCAAGCGGGCGGCGGTTGCGAGCTCGCGATTAGCCGTGCGCGCACGAGGGAGGAATCCGATGATGAAATTCAAAATCGCGAAGAGAAGAAAAAAGGAATAAATTCGAAAAAAACAACAAAAAATGCGGCAGAAATCGACAAGGAATGGCATCTGCAGTAGTTTATTGAACGGGATAGGAGTGATCTCCATCTCCAAAATCTACAGCCGTGCCGGACGAACAGGCGGATCTAGTAGAGGAGGCAAGGCAAAATAAGTTTGAGAAATCGATCGAGTCTCATGCGGGCTCTGTCCCGATCTCCCCTGTCGATCCCGGGAGAAAAAACCCAAAAAGAAACCTCAAGAAAAGCAGCAGCTTGATTGGACGGCGAGTGCTGTGAGTTACTGGCGCCCAAAAAGATCCCGAAAACCCGGCTGAAAATCAGCCCCGAAACGCACGGCAAAGTTCAAAAGCTTGCTGGGCTATGATGAGAAGTTGAGCAGCAGGTTCACCTTGTGGCCGTGGAGTGGAGCGGAGCCTTCTAGAGACCCTCGTCCCCGTCGCGCTCGCTAGAGAAGCGAGGCAGGTCACGCTCCTCCCATTGGTGCTCGGGCGGGCGGGCGGGCGGGAAGTGGAGACGAACCGAGAATAGGAGGAGAGGGGGCGGCCGCCGGGCCAGGTCAAGTACACGTGGCCGACCATGATGCTTCCATTTGTTTGGGCTTGGCAGTATTCCATGTGTGGCAAGGGGTGTACTCCTTCCGGTTTTTTTTAGTTCCCATATAAGATTTGGCTGAAGTCAAGCCTCGTAAAGTTTGACCAACTTTATAGGAAAAAGTACCAACCTTCACAATCTGAAATCAATATCAATAGATGTGTCATGACTTAAAGTTTCATATTGTATAACTTTAGCATGGCAGATGTTGATATTTTTTCATATAAATACGGTTAAATTTTATGAAGTTTGACTTCAGAGAATTCTAATATGCAAAGTAAAAAGGATCGAAGGGAGTACTACAATTGTTGATGCCTCTGGGTGGGCTTGGGCTGGTTTGAGTTTGACCTTCCCTTATGTTTGACCCTGTTTCCAAAAAAACAAAATCACTTCTTATACGTGTATTTGCCAACATGTACCATGTATATTCCCTAAAAAAATATACCATGTATACGCTCATACATACGCATATATGCTCGCCTCTATGAATGCAAGCATGCACACCATACTCATATGAGCCCCTCCGAGAGACTAAGCCAGCACATTATCTTAAGATTAAAAAAGTACTGAACACGCATCGCCCGAAGATCTGGAATAAATTCAAGAAAATGCGAACACCTGTGTCAAATCTAAGACTTGAATTATGATAGATTACGGATATCACTATTCTCCTAACCATCCAACCATAGACTGATTCGTTCATCTTCTCTCTTCTAAAAAGAAATTGTATACTTCCTTTGGTCCAAATTAATTGGAGCAACCTCTATACAATCTCAATACTATATTCACCCGCAAAAAAAATCTCAATGCTATATTATATAGAGGTTGCATCAATTAATTCAGATTACAGGGAGTATTAATTAATCAACAAAGATACTACAATCTTCCGCCGGACATGTACTCCCTCCGTTCGGTATTACTTGACTCGGATATGGATGTATCTAGAACTAAAATACATCTAGATACATCCATTTCTGCGACAAGTAATTCCGAACGGGGGGAGTAGGCCGGCACTGAAACGCAAGACTTAGCTAACAAGACCTGAGCATGATCTCACTATCCTTCATGTTAACCTTCATGACTTTAACATGACATGTGAATTGAGTGTAGTTTACATAGTTAGATTCCTTGTGGTGAAACCAATCCACTAGGGTTCAAATTATAGACTCGTGGTCGCATTTTTCTAAATTTATTTCAGACCTTTCAATGATGTACGTTCGCTAGGAGAAGGTGTTCCTATGAAAGCGTGTGTGGCGATGAGTGTGCCTTCGTAAGGGTGGATATATGTGCATGTGTACAAGAGTTTGCGTGCGTATGGTGTTTAAAAAAAACTTTAACGTGACACCACACACCCCACCAGGATTAACCTCTTGAAATCTTGCACAGTCATACCAAAAAGCATCAAGTTCCAGTTTATAAAAACTAAACACTCCTACGAAACAGTGAGGATTTTCACTTATAAGTTTTCTGTGAAATCCAAGGCACTGCAAATGGCCCTGAAAGACCAATTCCTCTTTCTAGAATCAGGACAGATAGCCAACAGTTCATAACAGCATCAAGTCTTTCAACTCATGCAAAGACGAGTACGTAAAATGGACAAAAAACTGGGCATTGATGGTATTATCAAGTATCCAACCTGATGAAGAAATATATTGTTTCATTCAACCACATATGTCCAACAACAAGAAAGTCATCACGTCACACCACAAACCAAGCCAATATATTCCGCGCCCGGATAGAAGTTACAAAGGGTTAATTACACAAAGAATACCTTATTCTATATTTTGAATACAAGCTGTAACTCTCAGGGTACATCACCCCCCTTTTTTCCAAATTTTGTATGCTACTACAACACCGCCAATGCGATATGTACAACCAACGACAACAAACCAAGCTATTGAGACCTCATACAAACAGCTGAACTATGACACGAGCTAGGCACACTTTGATGCAAATAGGAGTAGGGAGAACTACCCTAGTTAAAATTAGATCTAGGGGAGCCAAGGTATACATGCTGAGGAGCATGGCGGGCTTGGAGCTGGATACGGTGAGAACCGAAAAATGCAAAATGTATTTGCATCGAACATATATATACCCTTCAAAGGCTATTAAGAAGAGCCCTTTTGCAAGAAGGCTGCTGAGAAGTTTCTGGCTTCGATCCAGGTGAGGCCAACTCAAGCACAGACAGCAAAAAATTTCTCTCCTGAAAAGTTCAACAAATACAATACATGTGTAACTACCAAGTGTTTGATTCAGGTATGTTATTGTGTGTGAAATAAGACTAACAATGACAGGCTACATAAGTCAAAAGCTTACACTGGCAGTAATTTTTGGAGTTGGCACGTTATCTGTGAATGGATGGAAAGTTGGAACTGTGTGAGCAGGAGAGGTGAATTCCATGCATGGCTGGGTGCTGCTATCTTCGGGAACGTCGCTGCAGTTCTCTGAAGTTCCTTTCTTCGCAACTGCTTTACCTTTGCTAGCAGTGTGAGCAAGGGAAGTAAATTTAGCACATTGAAGCCTGCTATCTTGGGCAACCTCACTGAAATTCTCCGATATTTCTTCATCTGCTTTAGCTTGCAAATCTGCACGAGCAGGAGAGGTGCATTCTGTACACTGAAGACTGTCATATTTGGCAGCCTCACTCAAGTTTGCTGATGCTGGTATTTCATAATCTGTTTTAGCTCGCAGAAGTGTATGAGCAGGAGACATGGGTTCCATACATTGAGGCAGGCTACCTTCGGCAGCCTCACCCAAATTTACGGATGCTGGTGTTTCTGCATCTGCTTTAGCATGTAAAACTATATGAGCAGGAGACATGTATTCCATAAATTGAGACCAGCTACCTTCTGCAGCCTCATTCGAGTTTGCGGATGCTGGTATTTCAGAATCTCTTTTAGCTCGCAGAAGTGTATGAGCAGGAGACATATGTTCCATACACTGAGGCAGGCTACCTTCAGCAGCCTCCCTCAACTTTACAGATGCTGGTGTTTCTGCATCTCCTTCAGCATGCAAAACTGTATGAGCAGGAGACGTGTATTCCATAAACTGAGACCAGCTACCTTCGGCAGCCTCACTCAAGTCTACGGACACTGGTATTTCTGCATCTGCTTTAGCCTGCTCAGCTTGAACTGTATGAGCAGGAGAACTGTTAGCATGCAAAACTGTATGAGCGGGAGATGTGTATTCCATAAACTGAGACCAGCTACCTTCGGCAGACTCACTCAAGTCTACAGACGCTGGTATTTCTGCATCTGCTTTAGCTTGCTGAGCTTGAGCTGCACGAGTAGGAGAACTGTATTCCATGAAATGAAGCCCCATATCTTCCGCAGCCTCACCCAAGTTTATATGAGCTAGAATTTCTGCAACTGATTTAGCTTCAAATTTCAATTAATCTTCTTCGATGTGGATGGAAAGGCATGTAACTAAATTCAGATTAAGAGCATAGGTTACCTGGGCAAGGTTCCATAGTACTAGATAGTGTGTTTCCACAAAGGCTACTTTCTTCTGCGATTTGATCTACTGGGCAATTATCCATTATTTGATCAGGAGCCATTTGTGATGTTGCTCCGTTCTGCTCTCTGTTCATCAGAATGGTGGTGGATCAATAGCTGAGGCCATAGAATAGTAACCAAAAGGATGAGATATTATTCATTATATACCTGGACTTCTGTTCATCTTCTTCTTCATTCTCATAGGGATCAACAATTAAATCGTCGAGATCGTCTAGGAGTGAAGCTGTTCCAGACATACTGCTCTCTGACATGTCATTATCATCTTTCTTAACCAAATGATGCTGTAGTTTCTGAAAGGTCAAGCATAAAACAGTTATTTTAAAATGTAAAACTACAAATCTACTTCAGACCATCAAACTGGCGATGCCATACCTGCCAGGCTTCATCCATGCTTTGGCTTGTATTTTCAGTATTTACTTTTGTTGCTAGGGAAGAAAGCAAGTCAGCTTGCTGAAGTAAAGTAGCAAGTTTTGGATCATTCCTTTTCAAAAAATTACCCTCATGCTTCACACCTGAAATTATGCACATGGAGCAGGTTCAAACATTGACACAACACATGAATCAAGTTAAACATTCAGAATCTGGGATAATAGGCTCACA